TATATATTTATTTATTTATTTATGTATTTAAGTGTGACAATTTTTATAATGAACAAAGAAAATATACAATGCAAATTCTATAAATAACTTTAGAAGTAAAAACTAATTTTCTTGCAAAATTTATCTGCATATTTATTATCATCCAAATTATTAAAAATGATCAATGTTACACATAATAGATAAACGTATTTTTAATAAAAGTATTTGTTATATAAAAGGATACACGGTTTTGTTTGTGTGCTAGAATAATGTCACGTGTGCAATTGAAAAGCTATTTCAATTAAATTTTGTGGTGCAGAGTCTTGATGGCACACATATAATTCCTTGGGATGAGGACTAGTGTAAAGGCGTCCGATTACCCAAAAAACTGTATTCTCCCACTCAAACAACACACCATGTTCTTTAACGGCGATTAAACTCCTATTGATAACGGTTTTGTCCATGTCCTGATTCAACATCTTCTTAAATCGCACTGTATTGTGCAATAATCTATGGATGACGTGTACGCATTTGTTGAAGTTTATAAGAATCTTATTGTCCTTCGATGTATTTTGAATGGGTATCGATGACAACAGAATCCCTTCTACCATGTCTAAGTGGACATAATGATACAGATAATTTTTGTCACCAGCCGTCAATTTTTTCGGTATCAAATATTCTGCTTGGTTTAGTAAGTTCTCTCGTATGTTGGATATATCTAAAGCGAGCACGTGACTATCACTCTGAAAGAACATTTACAGATATTACTATTTGTAACACATGTTATAAGCTTTATCTAATACGTTTCATCAAGATATTTTTTGTACGATACGACTGGAGATCCTATTTTAGCACAATTTTATAGCGTCAAATATACTTTTACGGCAGAAATACCTTGTATATGTCGATATCTGAGTCACTGTCGTCGGAGTATCTCGACGCCGAGTTAATCTTCTCTCTGGTCGCCCGTCTTCCGAGTATAGGCATCGCCTCGTCGCTCATTTCGCTGATGCCACCTGTTCCTTGGCTGAGTGAATCTTCAGACGTTTGTAAGGAATACACTAAACGTACACCACAAATGCTTATACCATTATAGATTAATTATACATTAATATATTAATAACAAATAAAAAATCGAGTTAAAATATGATATGAAAGATTTTCGAATTGTTTCCACTTCTTTGGTACGTCCTGATATTACTCACCAGAACCCGAAATCATTGGACTTTCTTCAGGGCTGCGTTTCTTCAAGATAGAAGGCAGTTCTTGCGGCTTTTTGTTGATAGCAGAATTAACGCTCGACTTGGACATTGAAATTTGAGCATCAGACGATTTTATTAAGCCAAACAGGTTCTCCGTTATGCTGGACGAGGGCTTGGTCATTGTATGTTCCTCGTATGGTATCACTTCAGGCCTGGTATTAGACATAATCCACTTCGAAGCTAAAGTTGTGACTCCAATTTTTTGCACATGCTTTAATGTCTCTTGGGCTTCTTCCACGTAAAATACATCTGGACCTATCGCGTCGCTGTATCTATATCGGATAATAAAATTTGAGTAGAAAATAGTATTTCTGTACGCCACATGTAATACATATTTTGATAATAATCACGCTTACTTCGCGGTGCATCCTCCGGATTCCAATAAAACCGCCAGCAAATCGTGTCCATACGCAACGACTAATAAAAACCACTTTCCATCAGGTATCAGTAATTGATCGTTGTCGTCGACGTTGACGTTGCCACGATTGCAAGATGACGGATAAATCTGTTTCCACAGAACGAGACATTTTACTTGTTCTTGATTCATCAGATTCAATAGACCGTTATGTCTCAGAAACGAATGCACGTCGATTAAATCTTCATGAGGCAAATGAGATCCCAAAAGATAGCATTTGTGATAAACGCAGCTACCTAATATAGTATACAGTCTCTGACAATCCATAGGATCCTCGTTCTGTCAAATATGTATCTGTTAAACCTTCGATATTAACGACTTACGATTTAACACAAACGTACTCATTTTATTCAGAATATAAATAAAAAAAAATCAATGTACCCAATCTCTGTAATCCATAGCTTCCATTTCACTCAATGCGGCATCTATTTGTATTTGTGCATCTCTAGGTAACTGTATAAAACTAGCCACCGAGAAAGCACTCCTGAACTTGTAATTTTCCATATTTTCGACAGTGTTTTGCAGTTCCACTGTATGCTTTTTAACGTCGGCATCGTTACACAAATCCTTGATATTTGCTAATCTATGCATAATTAGTATGAAAAAATGATCCAATGAAGACTGATTTTCTGGAATAGTGAAACACTTCGTCAACGATTGATAAGTAAATTCCAATGTTCTGACTACGTCCTCCGTAATTTTGACAGCCTCCTGCAGGGTGCACCTGTAAAATGATGAATATTTACTTAGTATTCCAGATAGCGGAGAGAATTAAAACAAAATTTAAAAAGAATTCAGTCGTATGTCACCAATTCTGAGTTCATTCTCAGATGTAAAAAGAATTCTTCAGAGTTCCAGTGAAAAAAATTCTTTTTGCACCCAAAAATGAACTTAAAATCGGTGACATATGACCGAATTCTTTTTCGATTCTCTGTGCTATCTGGGATGACTTCAATGATTTTCTCTACTTGCACTTGAGCAGAACTCACCATTTCTCAGGTAAAGCTATCAAAAGTAATTCATCATTGTGAGATGTGTACACAATGTGCATTTCTTCCTCACCTATGTGGACAGTTGTACTAGAAAATATATATTATATGACACTTGTTATTTTTCATGTACAATATCACACTTATACACCTATATACCTGACAGGTTGCGGGCCTGATATACTAGGTAACAAGTGATTGAGAGTTATAAAGGCTCCTCTCGCTGTGCACAAAGAGGAATGCATATTTTTAGTTTCGGATCGCGGAAATGTATATAATACACCCTGCAATTCTTGTCCCATTTCCGAAAGATCCATTGTCTTTAAATATAATACACCCAATGGATAATTCAATAAAGATTCCATGTAGAGATTATTTTTTCTATTTACCAGGTATTGAACCAATGTTGATTGCTGGAAATAAGATTGGTATATCGTTTTGTGTATAATATCTTTATATACCTGTGCACATTTGTATACAAACGTAATTACTTTTGGTTCATTTACTCGAGGCAGTTTTGCAGTAACGTCGACTCCAGCCACTCTTTGCAATTCTAATGTTACCTGTGAGCAAAATAATACAATCTTTTGTTAAGAGATTTTAAGACAAATATAAAAATTTATATTCGCGTAATATTATGAAATGTATGTTAGAAATTGGATAAATTTATTGATTCTTACGTTTGATGGTGTAGTGATTTCGGATAATATTTGATCTAAATTCTTGGAAGTGACATTATTGGAATTAATGCTCCGCAACCAGTCTCCAATTTTTATATTTTTGTTCTTCATGGCTTCACCATCCGGTATAAATCCCGCCACCATGACTCTAATTTTATCTGAAAATACACCTGGTGTGATGCCAAAAAATGCCTCGCATAAGGTTGCCCTCCTTCCCAACTTGTGCCTTCTTTCAGGATCAATCCACAGTGTAACTTCCCGAATTTCACCTGCCTAATCATTAGAAACACTTACATAGACAGAAATAACAATAGGTAGATGTTACAACATAATTTCTTCCTAATTAATACCTGGAAGTCTCGAAATGTGACTTCCTTGCTTCCACTTGCATCTTTTTCTTGAACGACAACATCACTCGCTACTGTGCTGCTGTTAATCTTTTTATTTCTTGTGCTCCAGCGTTTGCTTTCCTTACGTCTGATAAGTCGAAACAATTTACCGGCTCTCGTGCTACGACGACGCGTTAACTCAGGTTGAGGACTATCATTTTTATTGTCAAATACTGTAGAATCTTCGAATAAACTCTCTTCCGCTGATTCTACATAAAACACTTCTCCGGTAGGCCCAATCTCGGATTCCCATTCAACCACGGAACTGTAATTATAACAAATTATTGAAGAACTTCTTTCTGAATATATATAAATACAATTGAATTACCTGTCGGTATCTGAGTAATATGATCCTGTGCTGGATCCACTGTCGCTTGCCCACCAATTGTGATCGTTATCATCCTCGTTACAATTATTTACAGGGTACGATTGATCAAGATGTTTGGATTTAGATTTTAATAGTGCACTCTTGCTCTCTATTTCGCTCATGTTTCATTTGCAACTGTCGTGACAGTTAAATCTTTGTTTCACATTAAATTCTGTAACCATTTTGTAAATGAAAGTTATGCTTTCTCTCTCTCTCTCTTTCATGCGAGTACAATATTCTAATGCAAAATGTATAACTGTATCATACTTTGTTATATCCTAAAATATACCATGTATGTTACATATGTAATATATTGTTAATTTTATTTATATTTGCTAATTGTTTAGTTCGCACGATTGTTCAGGTTGGTTCAAAACCTACTACCTGAATATACCTTCATGCACCTGAATATATAAAGGTTCCAGTGTAGGAAAGAGTGGGGGAGAATCTTTCACTCTCTTTGATATGTATGGAAGATATAACAAGGAAGTTAACATAAACACACACATATAAAAGAATAGGAATCTAAAGCAAGCATTGATAGAAGTCAAACAGATCTAAAAAACTTCCAATTGATATTTTACTCTGAAAATTAGCAAGATTAATAAAAAATTTATTATAAAGTAACAGAGAGAGTAAGGATTTTGTATTTACGTACAAAAAAAGGTTTATTCTTCCTCGTTGTTACATTTATAATTATTATTCTATAGAGACAACAATTCTATACATAGAACTTGTTGCGCCCAGTCTATTTACCGAGTGTACTTAATATTAGTATCCTGAATTTCTAACTGGTATATGCATCTCGTATACAATTTCGAACATGTCAGTGGATTAGTGCAACATCGATGTTGTTCGCTCATTATGCATATATGCCGATTACATATGTGTCAAATAATGAAATTAAATATTGACACAATCGTTTAGTGAGACGGATTCATTTTATCTAATTGATTGTTTAAGTCTAGACGCAACTGATTTTATCTCGCTGTAATCCTTCTTTTTCTGTTGATCCATTTGGAAACATTTCCACAGCCTTAATGTCTCATCGGCGCCGGCACTGAGTACTGTAGTTCCATCCGGTGACATCGCCAAGTGCAAAACGCGACTGGTGTGTCCTGTGAGTTCTGCTACCTTCGTCATCGCTGGGTACTTCCAGATCGTCAGTTGATTTTGCGCGTAGCCGTGTCCAGAGATAATTTCTTTATAATTTGTCGACCACAACAAAGAGCAGACCTGAGATCTTGTATCTATATTATTCAAACAAGCACCTATAACAAAGTAGAAAATCGAATTATGGCGCAACTTAATTGTTGAAATATATAAATGTATAAACACTCGTCATTCGGATATTCGTCGGTCTCTTTTTTGTATTTGTATCTAGAAACCTTTATTATTCAATTCTGTGCTAACGAAACGAAACGTGAACTTGCCTGTGTTGCAATTCCAAAATCTAATAGTCCGGTCAGCAGTGCCACCGCCGCTCGCAAGTACGTTGTTCTGCCAGGGACACCAAGCAAGCGCTTTCACGGCAGCGTTATGTTGATTTATAGTATAAACGGGCTGAGTTTGAGTATGATTCTGCCCAGCGATCGAGGCCCATATTAATAGCATATTATCGTTGCCACCACTAGCCAAATATTTCCCATCGTTCGACCATTTTAAGCCACATATCTCTTGACTGTGTGCGTTTAATGTGGAAATCAAGTGATTTCGTTGTCTGACATCGTGATGCACTATCTTGCCTAATCTTTAACAGTATTGACCAAAATTTAAGCTCAAATGAACATAACGACTGTGTAAAATTAACTGTACTCTGTACTACCTGCATCCACTCGATAATACATGAGAATTCCAAGACAAAGAACCGACCCTAGCCGTGTGCCCATTCATCACACGTACTCTCTTCATTTCACTACAGTCCCATAGTTCTGTGTTTCCTAATGTGGTACCTATTGCCAAATGAGGACCTTCCTGGATCCATGAAACAGAGCACACGTAATCGTTCGAGTCCAATTCAAATAATTGCTGAATGGATCCAGTTTCAGCATTCCACAAATATACATTGGCACCTAGCGCAACGGCTAAGATATTGCTGTTTGACCAGTCCACTAAATTTAAATCTAAAAGATTATGCATGATTTCATCTTACAATTCATTTTTTTAAAGTGCAGAAAATAGAGTATTTGTAAATAAATACGAATTATAGAGAGCATGAATAATTACAATAATCATCGATGATTTCGGGCGCGTCCAATATTCTATCTGGAGCTTGTGGTATATATCTCGTCGAAGCTTTAACACTAGCTGGTGTTTTGGTTTGGCTATACAAAACTTTAAGTGGATTCTGATAGCCATCTGGAGCTGCTGGGGCTTTAACACGATAAGATAAAACTCTCATATTATCTATATCACCACCATGAAGATTTTCTCCTATGAGACGCTGCATTTCCCGCTTTGTAGGACTTATGTCGTCAAACTTATCTTTGTCTGGGTCAGCATTCTGTTGCTGAAGAATCTGAAATCGAGAAAAGAATAAATCCAAAGTCACTAGATGTTGATGCTTCAATATTTAGTTATTCAATATTTACTTACCTTATGATGACTTATATCAAAATTAGTCGTGGCTCTTGAAGGAATGAACCTGTCACCACCATTAGGTGTTTTAGCTGGAGTGCGACCTGTTATCAAAAATATTTTGAAAAAAATATATAGATTTATATAATTATTGCTATATAAGATATACTTCAGATAGCTTTGACAGACTATACAAAGATACAATCAAGCAAAATGTAAATGACTCAACGAGACAAAATTTTACTTGGAGATTTCCTAGAGCCTTTGGAGGGAGTCTTCTTGGTTCTGCCATCATTTTTTTTTATCGGAGACTTTCCAAATATGCTGCTCGAACTTAAAACTTTTTTTGATGTGTTTATGCTGAGATTAATACTGAAATATAAACCATATGTAAAGCAATACCTGCACCAAAATCAACATTCTTATATATAAATCAAATCAATTTTCTGAATATTAAAGTATTTTGAATCACTACTAAAAGAAATAAATAAATAATATTACAAAAATGTGAAAGAGTTATTACCTTGAATTTGAGTTCTCCAAACATTTCTTTTGCCATCGCGGGGGTGGCCCTTTGATAGAGTCATCCATACGAGTTAAATTGTTAAGCTCTTTCATAAATCTTAGGTGCGACATGAGTGTAGACAAGAGACCGGCTCTGATTATGTACGAGTCGCTTGAAAAATTAATTTAAAATAAGATAAAGAATCATGGGGAAAGTTAACGGGCATGAAATACAAACGCGAACGTAAGTATAAGTATAATTTAATTGTTATAAAATACACGATAGAATCAATATAAATACCTCCTTAACTGAATTGCTCGCAGTATATCCTGAATATACGTCGACTAACTTCTGTGATTCTCTGGGAGCGAGATATGTGCAACACAAGCAACAGGAATGATTTAAATGACAAACACCTTGCAGAGATTTAAAGAGACCGTTAGTTCGTTCACGCAGTCGAATTCAAATGCTTAAAGCCTCTATTGTAATTTTCAGCGATAAGTACGATGCGTATTGGGATCTTATGCGAGCGTTTCATTGGATACATGAATTATCTCAAGATTAATATGCAACCAATAAAACATGCAGTATCTTAAGATAATATGTAGCCAATAAAAAAACGTCTTTAAGCGCAAGTCTCCCTGATCTGTTCTTTTTAGCTGCATTGCTAAACTAGTGCAATAAATTAAGTCAACGACATACGATGCTTGTTTTCATGCTGAATTGTTTCCTGGATAAAAATACTCTGTTTTGATTGGTGCATCTCCATTTATCTTCAAAAATACATCAATCAGAACAGAGTATTTCCATCCAGCAAGCAAGTAAGCACGAAAAAAGCATCGTGTGCCGCTGGCTTTAGAGTGAGAAAAAATATAGTTGTCTCATTCTAATAGCGTGTCCGACTGGCCCTGGGTTAATCGCTCCGAGAGCGATTAATGACGTCATAAGTCTCTACTAGCCAATCATAAAGGTTATAAGTACTTGTTCGACCAATAAACGTAGGCTGAATAACCCAGAGTGGATTAACCCAGAGCCAGTCGAACATGCTATAACTTATTGCACCGGTTCAGCAGTGCAGTTAAAAAGAACAGACTAATTGGAAAAAGTTCTTGGATTCAACTAAAATTAAAAGCATACTCCAATTAAATTCACGAATTTTACAACAGTTGCAAAGCAGCTTTCTCTGCTGAACGCGCCCATTGGGTGCATTTAGCGAACTCGATAGTTGCACAACGTTGAGCAATTCGTCAATGTAATTGGCCTAGATTTAGAGATCTAACAGTAAGAACCAATAATCGCTGATTGCTCACTGAGCGCTTTTTCCGCTGAACGCGTCCATTGGTTAATGGCGCAGTGTCCAAATCACTAGTTTGCGCGAGATTAAGGCTGCGTTCCGAAATGCACTGCCAGTACTGAAAATCTATAGTTTATGTTACGTATATTATAGAATTTCAGTACTGGCAGTGAATTTCAGAACACAGCCTAAAGGGACGTCTACATTGGAAGTAAGCAGTAAGAAGTAGGAAGTAAGAATAAGAATTGACCAATCATAGTTGATTATTCTTCTCACATTCGACTGTAGTTGGTCAATTTCTTACTTTTACTTCCTACTTCTTGCTATTTACTTCCAATGTAGACGTCCCTTAAGGCTACGTTCAGAAACGTCACTCGAGTACTCTCCCTCTCTTTTTATCTCACTCTTGTATTTCACTCACTCCAACGCAACGGGTACACTTGGGTAATGTTTCCGAACGCAGCCTAAAGCTGATATTCACGTGTCGTACGACAAGCTTTTTGGATACGTTCATTGATTGACGAACAGAAAACCTAGAAATACTCTATTCCAACCAATAAAAGTATCCGAAAAGCTTGTCGTACGACATGTGAAATAGCACCCTTAAGGGACGTCTACATTGGAAGTAAACAGTAAGAAGTAGGAAGTAAGAATAAGAAATTGACTAATCATAGTTGATTATTCTTTTCACATTCGACTGTGGTTGGTCAATTTCTGACTCTTACTTCCTACTTCTTGCTATTTATTTCCAATGTAGACGTCCCTTTAAGCCCATTCTACATTGCGTAAACGTGGATGTAAGTGGTTATAAGTGATTACGACAACCAATCAGAGTAAAGCAATTAGTGAATAAAACATTCGGATTGGTTGACTCTTAAGCCCATTCTACATTGCGTAAACGTGGATGTAAGTGGTTATAAGTGATTACGACAACCAATCAGAGTAAAGCAATTAGTGAATAAAACATTCGGATTGGTTGACTCTTAAGCCCATTCTACATTGCGTAAACGTGGATGTAAGTGGTTATAAGTGATTACGACAACCAATCAGAGTAAAGCAATTAGTGAATAAAACATTCGGATTGGTTGACTCTTAAGCCCATTCTACATTGCGTAAACGTGGATGTAAGTGGTTATAAGTGATTACGACAACCAATCAGAGTAAAGCAATTAGTGAATAAAACATTCGGATTGGTTGACTCTTAAGCCCATTCTACAACTGCGTAAGCGAAGTCGTGAACGTAAGAGTCAACCAATCCGAATGTTTTATTCACTGATTGCTTTACTTTGATAGGGTCGTAATTACTTACAACCACTTACACCACGTTCACGCAATTGTAGAATGGGCTTTACGTTCACGACTCGCTTACGCAATTGTAGAATGGGCTTTAAATTGGTTTTGATCCACTATTTACATGGTTGCGAAATGGCGTTAGCAAGATTCTTGTGTGCTTGTTAAAATAAGGAATATTCGTTTTTATAGAGACACAAGTGCATACGTTTAATGGCAAATTTATTTGATCTCGCTCACTTAATTACAACCGTCGGCGTCGACGGTGTAAAAATCAAGCCTGAGCCTGGACTGCCTGAGAAATCGTCGAACGAGATATTGACGGAACTTTTCAGCACATTCGATGCGGACGCAGACGCCGATGCCGACAATAGTGTTGCATCTCAGGAGAACATTGATCAGCAAACGCCAAGTGATGCCGTCAAGTCGACTAAACTCCCGACAAAAAAGAAAAAGAGCAAGAAAAAACATAAACATAAGGATAAAAAGCATAAGAAAAAGCTTAAGCACAATTCCTCAGACAGTAACAGTGATGCTGAAGGTATTTCTGCACTTTCTATGTATTGTCTAACATTATATGTTATTACAGCTAATTATTTCTTATTTTTTTAATTAGGTAACAAAAAGAAGAAGAAGCATAAGAAGAAATCCAAACGAAGACATGAATCTGTTTCAAGTAAATCGTCGGATTCGGATCATTCAAAAGTCAAAATAATGAAATTGGATAATAATGATCTTGAGATTGATTGTCCAAAAATATCTGATACACTAGAAAAGAATGATGTGGAAGATACAACAAAATTAGATGACAATCCAAATATAAACAAAGAGATAATTGATACTAATAATTTTGGTAGTCCTCCATTGCTACCTATATCAAAGAAAATAGAAGATGAATCTGATGAGCCAATAATACCTAAGCTCCCTGGTTTGTACTTATCAGTCTGTTAAGTTTATATGATATAGTTTTATTACTGATAATATCTGCAACTTCATAAAATATGATGTAATTAGTAGTAAAGATAATATTATAAATTAAACAATAATCAATATCTTTTCTCACATATAGAAATGTTGAAGCAGCCTGTTCAAGGGAAAATATTAATAAAGGATCTCAAGAACAGTACTATTTATAATGAAACTGTAAAGGAAATTGAAAATAAGAAAAAGGCAAAAGCTGCCAAAATGGAAGATGGTGAATTGTCTGATAGTAGTAGTGATAACAGAACACCTACTTTAAGTCCTACTCCACCTCGAGATGATATATTCGGATCATCATCCTTTAGTCCAGATAGTGATAGAAAGAAAAGTATAATGCATAGCCCAACAAGGAGGGCAACTTCTACAAAAACCGATCTCAGATTAGTTTTGAGAGAGAAAGAAAAGAAAAAGTTGGGAGTTAATGATTGCAAAGATGATGTCAATTTTAAAGATACAAAAGACGATAATAAAAGGAGCAGGAGTTGTCATTCACAGGATAGAAGAAGATCCAGATCACGAACACGATATAATTCACAGTGCAGTGGGAGCCGTGAAAGAGAAAAGCGAAGAGACAGAAGCAAAGAGAAGCGTGACAGAGACAGGAATAATGAAAGACGAGATTTAGGCAGAAGCAGAGAGAGACGCAGGTATAGGAGTCGCAGTGAAGACAGAAGTAAAGAAAAAAATATGCGAGGTCGAAGTCGAAGCAGAGAAAGGAAGTTAGTATCATATTAGAAGTTAGTTTCTCGAAATTCAGATTACTTGTAGTTTACATGATATTACATTTTTTTTTTCAGAAAACGAATTGAAATTGATAAAAAGAAGCTTTTGGAAATTGCAAGGAGGAATGCTATAAATATGATAAAACAAGGGACTTTGCCGTTAGCTCAACAGGACAAAGCTATTGCTGCTATACAATCGGGTGGGAAAACGGTGGATGAACTTACAGGTATTTTTTATCATTTATATTAATCTTACTATCACAATAATTAAGTTGCAATATTATTTTAAAATATTAACTTAGAATATTATCATAATAACTGTCAGTTAATTGAAATTAACTATATATTGTAGATTTTTGCAAAACGTTGTCAAAATCTGAAGCATTAGGTGAACTATCTAATATCTCCTCCGAAGAAGAGAGCGAATTTGAGAAAGGTTTTCATCATCCTTTTCTTCTAAAGGAAAGACCTAGTTCTATCATAATGAATATTAAGGTTGGTATTAATATTAATTTACTGTACTCTCTTTTATATCAATTTTTACAACATTATTTTACTGATAATTGTTGCCGTGAAAATTTAATAAATTTAATTTCTCCATTTAGGATGCAAAACAATTACCGACAAAAACGTTCCAAGAAAAAGCAGCCGAGACATCAAATCAGCTACGATTGCAGTTTCCTGTCTCCAGTGGACAACATCACAGAAAGACTGGTAACATATATATACATTTCAGATGTAGTTTTTATATATGTATTTCTTTTTATATGGATTCTAAAGAAAGAGAAGGAGAGGATAGCTGCAAGATAATATTTGTTTTCAGAAAGCGAATGGGTGCCAGTTGTACCGAAGAAACCAGAACCAAAAAAGTTATTTGTACCAGCATCTACAACAAATGGTAAACTAGCAATAATGCCACCACCAGCTGTACAACCTCCTTTGCAACCAGCACAGACTGTTTTTCCAGCAAATACAGAAGTAAAATTAAACAAAAATGAAAAATATAATTACAATTAATTTATGATTTATATCGTAATTTTAATAAGTATCCTCGATAATTGCAGACTGTCGACATAGGCTCCATAGTATCTCAAAGATTAGCAGCCATGAGAAAATTAAGGGAAAATCCAAATGACGTTAGCGCTTTGAATGCAATGCATCAAGCACAAAATGAGGTAAGAAGGAAGAAAGAGAAGACAAGGTATACATTTTATAAAGCAATGTGGGAGAAGTTTTATATTAAATTACTTAATATAGATGAAAACTTGGGCTGAGAGTAAGCAGATGCCAGGTCAGTTCACGGGTAGTACAGGAGCCAAAGTGCTCACACCTGCAGAATTGTCTTCAGGTTATCAAGCCTGGGCACGTAAGGTAAAATTTATTATGTATTTTATTCCATGTACGAAACATTTCGTACTTACTAGACCAACTATTCCAAAATCCTACTATGTGATGCATTTTCAAATCAAGCATATACTGTATGTGATGAGACAAAATTATAATTACGATTAAAATTTCCATTAGAGAAAAATATGTTTGATGTGTAAATGCATCTTTGTTCACATATCCATTATGATTTCCTTTCTCTAAACAATGAAACAGGTCCAATATATTTTCTGCAACAAAAAGTCTGAAATTTATATCTTCTGTATGATTACATTAATATTCTAGATTAATATCGAACAGATTATTTGAGATACTGGTCCTATCATTGTTTAGTGTAATCCTATTGACATTTATATTGCCTGTAACAAGTTTTCAGGTACAGTCTCTACTAGGATCAATTTAAAGTTAATGTTGATTTAGTAGAGACTGTGTTGTAGGCACAGACTATTTCTCGTGTAGAGGTAGATTCTGTGCCTGCACGGACATAAGAGCATTATTATTTCAAATCAAATTTCAAAATTTACAAAAGTATAATTCTAAATTAAAATTTTGGAAAACTATAATTGTAATAAAACTTGCAGGTATATCAATGAACAGTTGTTGCTTCTTACCATATATTTCAAAATATTTCATGCTCCAATTTCTCATCGGCATAGTCTTGTAAGTTTATTCTGTCCTAGCAGAAATTCTTATAACTAGCAACACAAGAATTGTAAGCTATATTTAATCAACGATAATTTCCGGGTGTACTGCAAATGATGAGTTTTAAATACACTTGAGTGAAATAATAAGCACTTGTGAGATTATTGCTAATTATCGTCAGCTTCCTACCATAGGATTTCATCAGAAGCTGGTACATTGCCTCTTAATGTTAAAGCTGGGATATTTAGCATTAGTCTACATCCACCTGAGGGTTTGTTACAGGCACATAGCTACATCAGAGAAGATACTACTTCAGCAGCCTGATGCAGAATGTATTGTCTGTTGAGTAAGTATTCTTATGTAAATTGTATAACAGATTATAGTAAATGCACTTTTAGATTTATCTAAATACTTTTTAACCATCATTAAAGATTTAAGAAAAGCATTTAATGTATTCTTCACGACTCTATATAAAATGTGATATCTAATATGCAAATTTTGTTTATCAGTTATACATGTATTGATTTCAAAGAGTGGAGTATGTAGCTTTGAAGCTTGCAAACTACATTTCGACGCTGTGTATGTAAGTAAAGATGTAACACGTTTTCTAATTCAACAAACTATTTAGGACCAATTAGTGTCAGCACAGCCTGTATCAGGTGGAATGGGTATGGCCTTGCTACAAAAGATGGGTTGGAGACCTGGTGAGGGCTTAGGCAAGAATAAAGAAGGAGCTTTGGAGCCACTACAACTAGAAGTTAAATTAGACAAGAGAGGACTGGTTTCTGAGCAAGATATTGGACAGAAAAGTAACAAAGCAGTGAAGCCTGTGGTGCCAACAGTGAAGACATTGGAAGGTACATCTTAATGTTTTATTGTTATATTATTTCTTTATTTATTTTACGGAAGTACATTCGTGTCGCATTTGTAAATAAGTTATTATCATAAAATACATTTAGTGTGACGTATTCTTTATTAGATTACTCACATAATTTCTTGTATTATAGGCAAACATCCAGTATCATTATTAGGCGAATATTGCTCAAAAAGAAAATTTGGTGCACCAGTTTATGAATTGTGCTTTGAATGTGGACCAGATCACAGGAAAAATTTTCTTTTTAAGGTAAGTAATTATGATACACGCGTAATACTATTTTTAAGAAATATACACATATACATTTCATATATTATAGGTGAAAGTAAATGGTATCGAATATAAGCCAAGTGTTGCAAGTCCTAACAAGAAGCAAGCAAAAGCAGAAGCTGCGCAAATATGTTTGCAAAATTTGGGTCTACTACCTTCTTAATCATATGTATTATTGTAATTATATAAAGAATATAAAACTCATGATAATTATATGTACAATTATATACAGTGTGTCCCATAAGTTCGGCAACGGCAAGAAAACTCGGCGGGGGAGCATTTTAGAGAAAAATGTTTCGAATAAAAGTTGTAAGGTTTAAAAAGTCGCATTTAATGACAGTAGTTATTTGACTTAAGATGACGTCGTCAAGGTCAGGACAAGGTCAACTTTACTTTTTTAAATAGAAATACATATTTTTTATTATGGGATTTTATTCTACGTAAAAAAGCAAACAACTTTTGCTTGAAACAATTTTTTATACGACCTCTATTTTCTAAGATATTTACGTAAATATTTACAAAATTATTGGTTTCAATAATTTTTTACTTGAATTCTATTAACTTTACCGAAAAATATTAAGAGATAAAAATAGCTTATTTTGTTTTCAAAGAGCTCTGAGAATTTTTTCAGAATTTTGTGTTAACTTTTTAGTACTTCAAGAAAATGCAGTATTAAAAAATTAATATAAAATTCTGAAAAAATTCTCAGAGCTCTATGAGAACAAAATAAACAATTTTTATCTCTTGATATTTTTCGGTAAAGTTGATAGAATTCAAGTAAAAAATTATTGAAACCAATAATTTTGTAGATATTTACGTAAATATCTTAGAAAATAGAGGTCGTATAAAAAATTTTTTCAAACAAAAGTTTGCTTTTTCACGTAGAATAAAATGACGTAATAAAAAATATGTATTTCTATCTAAAAAAGCAAAGTTGACCTTGTCCTGACCTTGGCGACGTCATCTTAGGTCAAATAACTACTGTCATTAAATGCGACTTTTTAAGCCTTACAACTTTTATTCGAAACATTTTTCTCTAAAATGCTCCCCCGCCGAGCTTTCTTGCCGTTGCCGAACTTATGGGACACACTGTATATAATAAATTCTTATTTATCTTATTATCATTACGATATATGTTGTTTTTATAGAAATAGTTTTAAGAAAAAGTTAAGAAACTGTTTGACACGTTACTGATCTTATTTTTAATTTAATGTAATTACAAAGACATTTTTTTTGAAAATTTGATGTTAAGACTTGCAGTAAAATGTAAATTTATTTATGAACTTAATTGCAATAATAATATATAATTTTATTATGTATGTCTATTGTGTGGTCATTTTTATATTCTGTATGTTAAATATAATTACTAATTTTTCTATTAGAAAGCTGTTCTACTATTGGATATCATGTCGGACATCGGACGCAATCGTGTGAATCCTCCATTATTCTCGAAAAATGTCGCATACGATATTTCTATGAAAAGTTATAGTTTATTTCACGTATACTATACTTTCTCATTGAAATATCGTATGCGTAATTAGTCAAGAATACGGCTCTAACAGTTTAGTATATACTGACTACATGCACTGCAGTGCGCAAGAAAGTGACCTTACTGATAGTACTAGGGTGCGTTCGGAAACGTCACTCGAATACTCTCCCTCTTTTTTTATTTCACTCTTGCATTTCGCTCACTCCAACAGCTATCGTCTAGTAATGTGCACACAGTGTGTGCCTTATTTATATGGGCTGCGTTCCGAAATTCACTGCCAATGCTGAAATTCTATAGTATACGTGACATGAACTATAGAATTTCAGTACTGGCAGTGAATTTCGGAACGCAGCCATATGGTCTATCTTTTCAACTGCACTGCTGAACTGGTGCAATAAGTTAAAGTGAGACAAATATATGTTTTCTCACTCTAACTTATTGTACCAGTTCAGCAGTGCAGCTGAAAAGACTGACCAATAGTGTGTTTACAGTGTACTGAAAGCGTGCAACAAGCGCGCTCATGTTTGTAAATGATAAGAATCATCGCGAAATTCTTTACTTTTTAGAATCGTGTTTTATAACAGAAAAACTTTGAAATCGAAGAAGATATTATTTTCGTGATTTAAAACGACAATTGTTTAGAATACATACGAATTATTCTAGAGACGCGAAGATATTTTTTTATATTTTTTAGTGTTCTCTTACACTCAAATTTTTCGGTCAGTTGAGCAGTATTTATAGCACTTTAAACATTTGCATTTGAAAATCAATATCGTTTGTGTTTTTATCTATTTGCAGAATTTTCATGTTTTATAATTTCTATTTCAAATAGGTAGAACGCATCAATTGTACAAAGTGCTATGCTAATCGGTTGTTGGATTGCCTCTAGCCTTGGTTGTGATGGAAGATGTAGGAGCTACGGTTTTCTACGATGACGAGGATGATTGTTTGGACTATGATTGCATGCAGAACGTTGAATACGACTTTGATTATGTGGATGCAGAAAAGGAAAATCTCTATGAACTATACGAGTATTGTCTCAGTCCTACTTTATATGATACAGGACGTTATATGTTACCTTTGTTGGGTAGCACAGTATTATTTAGATTATTTGTTTATACTCGTAAGATTCTTTTCTCCATTTATACAATATATTTTCCTCCATAGATTATTTCATTTGTGTCATAATAAAAATGACTTTGTTCTTTGATATTTCAGCGTACATATCACACAGAATATTTCATATATTATCAGTAATCATAGGCTTGTGTGTTATTCAGTATTATATGCAAGAATGTTTAATCATATTGATAGTATTTGTTCTTTTTTCTTATGGTATTTTATACATCCCCAAAAAATGGCATGGTGGCATAGGAATCTTTTTACCATCTCTTTTGATAATTGCATATTGGTATGTATTCATGATATTTTGAAATATTTTATGCTTATTTCAACAGATCAAATATATATTGATATATTTTTTCTAGTGAATTTTCAATGCAGTCAGTAATATGGCATAAAGTACGTAGCGTGATTATGACTATGGCAATGAAGGTAATAAGTATTGCCATTGATACAAGTGATTCAAATGACTTGCCAGATATTTACAGTTACACAAGTTATGTATTCTGTGGTGTAACCTGTCTATTTGGACCATGGATATCATTCAGAGATTATATTTCACTTCGTACTTCTAATAGCCAAGTACATATATAGATATTCAATTACTATGTGTTATAATATGTTATAATGCATATCAAATGACAAGAGAGGGATATCGCGATAATTTTTAAAAAGCTTAATTTCTATTGTAGACAAAATTATGCATAATCTATGGTATAGGATACATCTTCCTTGCATTCATCTTCCTGAGTATTTCAAATTGTTGGACACAATGGATATTCGTAAATAACTCCTGGAAGTTAGTACCTACTCTCTATTTCAAGACACTTGTTTAATATATCTATAATTGTTTTTGGTCAATATGAAAATATTATTTTTATGTTTCAGATGGCTAATAGCATACAGGGACGCGTTATCTTTTAGATCATCCCACTACTTTGTTTCGTACATAGCTTCGGCGTTATTAATACTCGCTGGATTTCCTCTTCCACTGTCAACGACAGTTCAGCCATTGTACATTGAGTTTCCACGCTCTCTTGTTCAAGTTGTCATTTATTGGAATATCCCAATGCATTATTGGCTGAAGACATGTATGTATAAGTGTGTACTTCATTAAAATATGAAATACTTATGTTAAATTTATTTTAAATCTTACTTTTAACAGATATCTTCCGTCCTAGCATTAAACGATTTGGAAAGTTCGGAGCAGTGACTGTTACGTATCTGATAAGCGCTCTTTTACACGGATTAAACTTTCAACTGGCAGCAGTGTTACTTAGTCTAGGATTTTACACATATATAGAGTTCAAACTCAGGATCATGTTAGCCGATATCTTCAATGCCTGTATCGCATCCAAACAGTGTGCTTCGCAGAAATGCACGCATAAATATACCTCTTACAATTGTTTATGGGTGTTTATGATAAACATGGCATTCTCCGGTTTGTCCATGTTTCATTTGGCTTATTTGGGTCTCATGTTTGATACATCTGATTTACAAGAAACAGGGTATAGCTATAGCCATACGATTGATAAGTGGGCTCAGCTCGGTTTTGCTAGTCACTGGGTAGCATTGGCTACATACTGTATATACTTTCTCATTAAATAGACACATTTATATATAAAACGTTTGACGAACTTGCTAAGGATTATGTATATTTATAATTATCTTTTTATAGAAAATAAAACCGTGTTACTGAAACAGATATATTACTCGTCTTATAAGCATTTATAGGCACTATCTATTTTTAAAGGGGGTCAGAGATAAAGATAATTTTTATTTTATTCCGAAGAAGTAAGTAAAATACGTATTCTTTATTGAGTGTATAACACAATATAAAGTTCACCGGGTGTTTATATATATAAAAGCACATTTATATATAATAATTTGTAATTATAAAAAAAGTTTATAAAGTGTAAGTATACAATGTTAAATAATACTTTTTCAATATTTTATATTCTAGTCTAATATTACATTAAACGTCATATTTTCATAACGAATAGAAACGTTTTTGCTAAAACATCTTTTTTTCTAGTAGTACACCATGTTAATTGTAACGTTGCATTTGTAATATTACTATGTGACGTAGCTATTATAAGTTAGCAATTATAATGCAATTACACATGCAAAGTTGTTTTTCTCATCAAAATATAGAAGAATTTTAGACTTTCAATGTTAAAACGCAAGTGTATAAATATGTATTTTTAAATAGGATAACTCTTTTAATCTTATGTACATTGTCAGAGTTTCATTTTGTTGATAATAATTGCATTTTGCATGCAATATAAGTCTTGTTACATGTAATATTACAATTGAACATTACGAAGAAGAAATGTTATATATAATTCACGATATTTTACTAGATATTGGAGCTGCAAAGATTTGCTACTTTTACAATTTAGATGGTGCGTTTATTCGAAAATAAATAATTTTTACTACAAATTCTATCTCTTGGAATCTAATGATACATTAACTATGTCTCTAAACATCATCACATTTTAATAACATTTGTTATTAAACATTGTAATTAGAAAAAATCCATGGCTCCTATATTCATGTTATCTTACTATTTAACTAAATATGCAATTAATACTATAGATTTATATAATATATAGACTATATATTTTTATGTGAAAGCATACATATATGTCTACTTAGAAAAAGAAAGATCAATACCCAAAATTTATAAAAGATATGCATTCTTTCTTTTAGCCATACTAAACTTCAGTTAGCAAAAAGACCAGTGCACTTTTCCAAATATTTAATTTCTATAACAGATATTGACTCATTTACAATTGAAGTTTCTGAGACAAGAATGACAATGAATGATTGTAATTGTTATTACAAAATTATATATTTTAGATACTGGCGCTTCTTCCCAAGATACATTTACACATGCCTCCACAAGAAAAATTAGATTAAGATGAAGTTAATTAAAAACCTTGCATATACTAAAATTACTATTGACATATTTATATTTTTAGTTATTTATATCAATTTCATAAAAAATAATTCAATTGTAATTATACATGGATCTTAGATACATTATGATATCCATAAACAACAATTATCGTTACTCTTACGACTGCCACTTGATATTTAAAATTGACGATATCTTCTTGTTATAGATCTCGATGTAACTTAGATTTTTTATAATATTTCTAAAGCATTCCTCTTTTTCTTTTTAATAAATTGTCTTTATTTTGTATATTACAATGCTATATGTCACAACTATACATCTAATAAGCGACTGGCATACTCTGATATAATTAAATAAATGATTATATATATATTTTTTTTTGTGGATTGTTGAGAGATATAAATAAAAATACTGTTTTAAAAAAGCAACTAAAGCTCTAAAGCATTACACATTCTGTTATGCATAAGTGTGTAAAGAAGCGCAACTTTCAAAACTAATAAAGAATAACATAATATATATAAAAAATCTGGGTACTCGTAAGAGTAACAACTTAATTTCAATGTTGTACTTAACGGCATTTCAAATAATTGGCTTACATTTCTCTATATACAATTTACACAGTGCTACATCAGGATACTCTCATCCTGCTGTCTTATCTTCAGGTCAATTTGAATCATATGATGAAATGTTACTTGTTAATTTCTTAACTTTTTTAATGTAAAATATTAAAATTCTATTTGCTTTCTTTCTCAAGACTTAATTCTGATAAGTTTTGATGTACTGTAACAATTTGCATTATTCTTATGTTTCATCACATCTTTTGATATGTTTTATGATGAAGTAATCATGACGACGAATTTGGAAGTGTCCTTGTAAATTGTGTAACTAAATCTTTATGATATACTTACAAAAAGACCTGAAGATAACCTTAAATCTTTCATACATAAAATTCTCTTTTCAATAAATTGTTACTATAATTAAGATTGCTATTACTTGTTGAAGTATAATATGTATATAATTAGCGCAATAACAAATTTATATGTAGTCGCATCGCATTTGTAAAATCTACAAACCTACATTATTTCGAACAAATAAAAAATGTACAAATACATTCTACATCTTTATGATTTTTAGTGGAGATTAGCGAGAGATATATTTTCCATCAAATAACATCTCTTGCAAAGTATGCTGCATTAGTTGTATAAACTACACATATAGGTATGTATTGGGCTTTGCAAGTCTCTTTCTCTACTGCTTTCATCAAAGTTCAAAGCAACAAAAATAATTTTTAACAGGTGCCATAAATTACAGTGTATTAAGATTTTTAACATTGCTTTAAACTGACAGTCTGTTATGGAACATTTATACTCCTTTAATACACATTCCTATACGTTATATATACCATAATCATACTAAATAAATCTTTCCTGCTAACTATCCAATTCCAGTTCGCAATAATTTTTTTCATAACAATAAGTGTTTCTTATATATAAATATATAAAAACTTGCATAATATCACAATAACAAAAGATGTAACAAATTTGAATTTTGAGGCCTTACATGAGATTTATTTTTATACCCTTTTAATCATCTAAAAGATGAGTCAAAGTCGATATTCCTTCAATATTCTAACGCCAATAGAGATTCTTTATTTTACTCTCTACCATTAATTATTGTAGCTGCGATGGTAGGGGAACCATTGCTTATCATTCTTTTAGAATAATGAAGGTAATCAGCTTAATTACTCACAAAAATTTCATTTTAATAGATAAAGGTATAGACACGAAGGAGTGTATTTTGAGTTGTATCATCGCAAAATATAAGTTCATTAAACTTTGAAACAAATACATGAGCATTAAATAAATCCTTCAGCGAAATTTAAAAACATATTACTGCAAAATTATGTGCAAATCAATATGATTTGAAAAAAAAAAAAATATATTTGCAATGCTTTTTCTGAGCAGCAAAATATTATAATGAAAAGATGATTAACGAAAGTCTAATTTTCCTATTGCAGATACTCAACACATAAACTTCAGCATGGAAGAACAATTAGAAGCTGCATAGGATATATATTAGGTATTGCAACAAATTAATATCCCATGATGTATACATATGACTAGAGTCTGAATGAGTCGCGAATAAATGCGGTGCATCTCGCCCGAACGTTTGCATGGGGCGAATGATAGCTACTAAGAGATGTTGGACAATCATGATGAAAAATGCTTATACAATTCTAGTACAATAACAGTTTTTATACTGTTATAACTTAATCAGTTTTACTCACTCTGCTGCTTTCGCTGACGCACCGTGTTATGATCTTCATTCAGACTCCAGATATGACAAACCATATTAAATAATGTATGTTGATGACTGTAGATGTAGTTTGACCTTCGTTGATGGTGATAAAAGCCTGGACAAAACTTGTTCAAGTTGAAGGAGAATCGATTGGAGATCAGTGAAGTGCTTTTATTGAATGATGGGGTTTAAGCGATGAGATCTTCGGCGCTGGTGAGATGCTCCAGTTACCTGACAGTCCTCCCCAACGCCACTGGGAATATCGGTTAGTCATCTGATAAATGCACTTTTATAACTTTTTGTTGTGCGCGCACTGCAAGTCACAAAAATAAATAGGATCGTTTCGTTAGCCACCCCTGATGCTACATATCGCTTAAGCACTAAATGTAGCGTACATTATTCTGAGGCCTGGACTATAATGAACATTAAACCGTTAACATGTTTCTGTTCAGATGTTATTTGCCCAGGCCTATTGAGTTTTAGCATGTACTGCATGCTTCAAACAAACACAAAATCCGTGGAGTCATGCCATGCAATATCAATCAAAACCAATGATATAATAGTCGGGAAATTTTACACTTTAAGTTACTGTATTATTAGCAACTCATATTCCTTTTAAGATCAGTACGAAATAAATGTCGACTTAAAGGTATGTAAAAAAAGATATATGTTTATATCTTACACACTACGTGTGCAAAATAACAAAGTTATACGGAATTTTGTGAGACTCATCTGTTAACCATTATATCTGTAAATCTCAATCATTTAATTTTTATCTCTATGGCCCATATTCTGAATCCTCTTTTATCGATAAAAGTGCCTTAAATGTAGCTTCTCAATCAATCTTAGGTGGTTCCTAAGCCTCTTTTAGAGGCTCATTTATCGTTAAAAGAGAACTCAGAATACGGGCCTATATGTGGATAAATGTGCATGTGTATGGTGATTGGTAATATGTGAGGTACGAAAGATGAAAATATAAAGATAGTAGTGCATGAAAAATGATAGCATATATATCATAATAATAGAGTAAAGCTGAATGTTAGAAGCTGTCAATTAGCTCTGGGGAACCTGGTGATCAAACCGTCAAAGCTTCTTTCATACGTCAAATAAGCAGTTCTCCAAACCGCACAATTGTAAATTTTGACCCAAATTCGAAAGGGACAGTTATTGACTTACTGCCTGAGTGAATAGCGAGTAATTCGGTCTGCCGACCTGAGGATCATATTCATGCCTTGTTGCGGCTGCGGTACCGAATGATTTGCGGACGAGTTTGTAGTATGGGCCTGTGCCATGCAGGAAGTACGTTTTGCCCTTCTCACTGGTTTTGATACGGTTAAAGATGTAACAGGAGTGGTGGTGGTTGTATTGTTGTTGATATTATGGCTCTGTGTTGCTGGCTTAGACCTAATACGGCAGGAAGATGGATCACAGCTATTGCTGACCAACCAACTGTTTCTACAATTTCCAGTTAAGATAAAGAAATGTCTATATGTCGCTTAATGCATGCAATATAGATAATACAAGTACTGGTTAAATTTATTCGACTTTTTAATCAGAAGCATATATTGGGTGCATAAGCCTAACTCAGAGAATAAATATAACATGAGAAATAAGAATATTAAATAATAGAATAAATAGAAAAGTGTGGTAGAAAGAATATTACGAGAATGTTAAATGAAAAGCGATTAAGAACAGAAATAAATAAACTTATTTAATTAAACATTAATAAAGTATAAGTAAGAAAAAAAATCGCCTGACCTTTTCACGACTGTCGTCGCAGTAGACCGTGATAGGAGCCTCTTGGTGGGGTCTCTCTCTTTATTTCCTGTTAGACCAGCAATCGCTCCCTTTTGACTCCTGGTTTGCAATAAAGGTCCCAAATAAGGGCTGTAAGTATAATATATAAATATGTACACATAAGTATTTTAAAAGTTCGTCGGATCGTCGATGATTTAAATTGGAACAAAGGATAAGTCATTTTACAGGCGCGGATTCGGACAGTTACCTGAAAAGTGGCAGAAACTGATGAATAACAATGGCAGATACTCTGATTGAACATGGCATATATTGTTTCGTTACTATTAAGAAAAGAAATATGACAAAAAATCCGACGAACTTTTGCAAGCCCCTAATATATTAACACGTATTAGTAAAAGTTTATTTTGAGAAAGCTTTGTTAAAATGGAGAAAGTCTGCACTTACTGTACAACAGTGGACGTCCCTGTGGATGTACTAAGAGAGGTTTGAGCCGTCGGTATGCCTCTTCTTTTAGCTTTGATTCTGCACAATTTGTCGCCTTGAGTCAGCGCGCTGTATCTAGTTGCGGCACTGGCTCCGGCCACCGGGGCGGGGTCATCTAATTTTATTCCGTCCACACGATGCATTATCCCGGATACGTTGTCTTCTACGAGACTTTTTACATTACCCCAGGAAGCCGTCCTGGGTCTACCAATTATCGAATATATTCCATACTCGTGAACCGGGTTTCCATTTACAGGTTGCAATGGATCCTTCAGCAGCGAACGAAGATACGCTTCTTTCCTAAGGTGCATAGCGACGTTACTCGTTAAAATTCACTCGGTAATCCCTCGAGCTATACGACGCAAGCTAATTATACACACTCACTTTTCCAGCCATTGTTGCTGGTGCCCGATCACTGAACCTGGCCTACATATCCTTATCCAAGCGATCGTCTCATGAGCTGTTAAATGGTAATGCTTCATAATGTAGCAACCAATCAAAGAACCTGTTCTCCCAAGGCCCGCTTTACAATGCACGGCAACCGCGCCGCTCGCGTTTTCCGCTATCTTGAGAAACTGATGCATTATGGAGTCCGTTGGCGTCGAGCCGTCCACAAAAAATAAATCTTTATGATTGAAGCCTGCATCAGTGAAGCTTGAAGCGTCATAGATCTTTTTGTTAAGCCGTACTATTGTCGTTACATTATTACGGCGGAAATACGTAAAATAAGACTCTGGACCATGCAGTGGATAACCTGTGGACAACAAAATATATAATATTTACTGCATTGTCTGCATTGATGCAACACGCGTAGAATTTGTAATAATATAAAGAAATTATACGATACACATACCATCTGCAACTTTAGATCTCGTGTGCGGGCCACAAAAAGCAATAAACTTTCCGGGTACAATCCAATTTAAATCTCCGTTCTCGACTCTTTCGTAATGTTCGTATTCCTTCACACAGAAATCTTCGAAATTAAAGAAACCAAGTCGATGGCACTTGTATATAGCACTTAGACAATCACTTAACGATATCTGGTAACACGGTGGTCCGATGGAGGCATCACGGAACCTAATGAATTCAGGATTACTCGGGCTCTTAGTCAAACATTCATAAACTTCTTGTGCTGTACGTTTGCAGTATAATATCTGAAACATATAAAATAGAATGATTACTTTTGAAGAAATGATATCTTTAAATACTTTTAAATAAGATCTTTAAAATACAATAGGTTTATTACTTTTTCAAAGAACTTTCTGAACTGATGTATACCAGTACAGTAAGTCAGAGTGCAAAAAGTATATTTTGTTTCACTCCAACTTATTACACCGTTATATACCAGTTCTTTGAAAAAGAATAGGTTTAATAAATATATATATGTGTGTGTGTGTGTATTATTACATAATAGAGAAAAGATCTTTACCGCATAACATCCAATAAGAAACGCAGCATTCACCCTCTTTTCTGAATCCAGTGTTGTGTAATGTACAAGTTTCTTTTTGCTGAGTGCGATACCCTTTAACTTCTTGTTAACCTTTTGGCAGTATCTATACAGCATGGCTAGATTTAAGGGGCCAAAATCAGCATAAAAATTTTCATACACCAACTCATTGTCAATACAGAAATAGTGAGTGTTTGGAGTACTTTTTGGTTTCATTGTTGTTCTTAGTGTTACAAAGTACAAGCGATCTGTAAGAAAAACAAATTTATTTTCCATTGTAATATATCAGGAGAGAGAGAGAAAAGAGGACTTTATTTCTTAGATTTCTCTAGAAATCTTTTCAATCACAGTTGATACATATTAATATTAATCAACGAATTTCACAGACTTATTATTGGAAAATGTACATGTCCGCCTTTTTTTCATGTAATCATTAAAAATAGATTCTCTAATTCGACGTTGGCGTGGAACACGCGTTACCTTTTATGAATTCGGCCGCGCTAACCAAGACCTCGTTCGCGTCCTCCATCGTGATCCAGTTGTGGGTATACGGCGCAGTAAGTACCGATCGGGTAGACCTGTCATCAGCGCGACGTTAATACAAGCGACAAACGTTCAATTAGCACGATACCCGATGGTGCGGAGCGGCGCGGAGTACGGCGGAGCGAAGCGTAAACACACAGAAGGTTAGAGCGAGTGGGTGGGCAACTAAGGCGAACTGGATTTTCTCACCGACTGCCTACGTGCGCGATTTCTCGTGACGTCCGCTGCCGTCGTCGTCGACGGGATGGCGCGGCTGCTTACCATAGAGAAGTGTCGTATACACGGATTCATAGAGCGCGAGAAAGAGAAAGAGGATAGAGAGAAAGAGAGAGAAAGAGACCACACCATCGGCTCGCACCTTCGACTATGCGGGTCAACTGGCTTCGGGGAACGCTTGACACTTACTTGAGTACGACCGTTACGGAATTCAAACTTGAAGGGGAGCGAACCGGATTTGGCGATGGCCGACGAATCTGCGGCAGGCGCGTCTCGCAGTGGCTGCACTTCCTTGGCTGCCGCCGATGGGGCACCGCGTTCGTTATTTCACGGGCATTATACTCGCACTCGGGTTCGTCATCAGGCGTGCATCTCGGGCGTAATTTGCGTCGTCGATACGTAGTCGATTTGCCAGCCGACCACCGCCGTCGCGACGTCATTATCCGCCAAGAGCTGAGCGAAGCGCGACTCTTGATACGGCCGCCATCTTACTCGTTACCGGCGCCGCGGTGTCGAATCGTCGTCGTCGTCGTTGTTGTTGTTGTTGTGATCGCTGCTGCTGTCGGCGAAATGATAACAGTTGCACGTTTGTAATCACTACGGACATCGCGAGACAATCGCGATCGGTTGTCAATGGTTTTCACATAAAAAAAAAAGCTGCACAGTAAGCAGTCGTCGGTCGCGTTCACAGCAGCGATTTTTTCCTCCACGGTGTTTTTCATTCGCGACACGGCAATGCAATTAAAGTGATGCGCGCGCGATGTTCAAATTTATCTGTCGATACTTTTCTGTCTTGTAAGATATCCGATTTATTTGATTTTGTAACAAATGTATATATTTAATAAAATAAACGAATACAATAAATTTCTATTCCTTAACGCACTACACAAATTATTTAATTGAAAACTGGTTCTTACAGCCTCATCGGTGGTTTATCTCACTACGGATTTCTGTACGGATCATTTCATTGGCTACGGAATATTTGAAGATAAGACGATCTTAAATATAAGAACCGATTATGAATATCGGTCTAAGGTCTGGTTGCACCAACATTATTTTGGCTTTAAGCGAAACTTAAACATATATCTATCTTTATCTTTCTTTCTATATAAATAAAGATAATATAAATATATATTTAAGTGTCACTTAAAACCAAAATAACGTTGGTGCAACCGGGCCTAAGTCTGGTATTCATAGTCGAATCTTATTTCAAGATTCAAGACCGTCTTGAACTGGTGCAACATGTAATGGCTTCTGCACACAGGACGCGGTATGCTTGCCGCGCGGCGGAAGTCCGCGCGACAGCCAATCAATATGTTGTTTTTTCGTAAGAACTAGAAGATTATTAGGGAAAGCAGCATATTGATTGGTTGTCGCGCAAACTTCCGCCGCGCGGTAAGCATTACCGCGTCCTATGTGCAGGAGCCATGATTCCCACTAGGGATAGACAAAAAGAATCGATATTTATAGCGTTTTTCATTGGCAGAATTGGTGCGCACTGAGGCTTGTTTACAGTATGTTATTATATTGAAAGATTGTCTTAAATAAATTCTCAAATATTTTTAACCAGTAATATAATATGTATAACATCCGTACGAATCATTTTATTACCTAAAATATTTTTAAATATGTATTTAAGACACGATCTTAAATATGAAAATGTATTGTAAACAAGCCTTAGTGTGCACTCAGTGTGCACTAGTTCTGCCAATGAAAAACGCTATTAGAAAACATCGATGTTCTCTCATTGAGGATAGTATTATATGTAGAAAGTCGTGCACCGATTGGTTGTCGGATAGAGGATTTCTAAAGACCCTAATATTTTCTCTACATGTCATATTATCCTCAATGAGCGAACATCGAGGTTTTCTAAACGGGTAGGACCCGATTAACCACGATACGATTGGACACAGATTGTAATGATTGGTTTGACCTAGTAATTCATTAGATAATTCTTTTCATCGGTTGGTTGTGTCCAATCGTACCGTGGTCAATCGAGACGCTCCCTTTCTAAATATCGATTCTTTTTGCTCATCCTTAGTTCCCACTGAGTGCGTCACGCGTCGCGTCGTCTGCCTGCGTCACGAGTTAACCAATCAAATCGTTCCATTGGAACAAGTGCATCGCGCGCGCGTCATCCCAATTAGAAGATTTGATTGGTTAACTCGTGACGCAGCAGACGACGCGACGCGTGATCCGCTCATTCGGAACTCAGCCTCAAAGGGGGATACGAATCAGGCCCTCTTTTGTTATATGGAGTTCGACCTTCTTTTTTCTTACTTCATGGTTTTACCACTTACAACCGTTTCGATTAAGAGCGGGTAGGTTGTCATATATGTGGTTGTATGTGCAGTTATATCAATTAATTTCGATTGAAGGACGTAGTCGTGAAAATATCAATAAACTTCTCTTCAGTGGTATGCAATGACCTGTTTGTGTTTGTTTTTCTTTTTTTTTTGGTTTGTGTTTAGAATAAGAACTTTGCTTTGATAAGAAGATTGTAACATTCTCGTTTGGTTCCTTAAAAAACATTATTAACAATTAAAAAGGAAATAAAATCTTGACAATTAATTACTTTTACGACCAACTACTGTTCCCAAGATCTGAAATAAGTATACTCATTGAAACTTTTGGTTAGGTCTGTATGACTGATATTTGTTTTTTGTTTTTCTGCAGGAGAAGATAAGAATTTCAAAACAAAATGGATATAGCAAACACCATGGAAATTGACGATTCAGAACCAGTAGCTTCAAATCCTTTTGTATTCTCTATACCGAGCATTATATCTGATCCTCCAAGAGTTATTAATTTTGGCTTAGGGTCAGATCATGTCTTTGATGCTCATTCTACCAGGAAGAATGTATTCACTTTTGCTGCGCCTACAATAGTATCTCAGTATAATCAACCTCGTGCAAAGCCACAGACTGGTAGTTATGCACAAATACACAAACGCACCAAAGTACGAGCTAACAACCGTGCAAATCTACAAGTTGACAATCGCAACAGACCCAAGATTCCCAGGCCCTTGTACAAGCCCCCTGTAAGTGTATTTGCCAATGCCCTCAAGGATACAGAAGCGTTTGAACGGCTGAAGAAGAATTCGAGATCAAGCATTACCAAGATCAATATAGAGAACACGATAATGTGTTCTAATGTTCCTAAAGGTTTGCTGTTAAAACGCACGGCCAAAGAATATTTCACAAATTTTGGACGCGTCGTGAACATAAACATTCGCCCGGTTAAATGTATAATTACGGTGACTTATATGACAAAAGATGAGGCGAACACTGCGTATTACAGCTGCGGTGATTATATGAACCAGACGTTTCACGTGGAATGGGCGAGGCCAGACTCAGTAGCGAAATCGCCTGGTAAGAAGAAAGACGTGCGCGAGAACTTGGTGACGAATTTACTCAAAACGAACGACGATGAGGTCATATCAGAATTAGAAGCCATGGCGAATTTGGAGTACAATTTGCACACCGCCAAGGGAACTGAAATACCTGATATAAATACGTTGCTACCGGCAAGAGTCCGGATGCCAGGGGGAAAAACAGCGTTGCCGCAGGAGAAATTGTCGCCGAGATTGGAGGAAACCGCAATCAAAGTTGAGAAACACGAGGCTGAGAGTCAGATCACCAATCTCTTGCCCAACACGACCGCCGAAGAATTGCAGAGTATAATTCATCAGGTCGCCCTTACAGCCGAGGATAAGTACAAAGTGCTGGAAGCCAGAGACCGCCTCATGAGATTGAAGCGAATCAAGCCGGCCTCCCTGGCGACCGCCAAAATAACCAGCGGCACTTGTCCCGACATGTGTCCCGAGAAGGAACGTCTCATGCGCGAGTCGCAAAGACAGGTTGCGTCCTATGAACAGCTCGAGGGCAACGAGTACAGGATAAATCATGCGACAGCCATAAAGCAGTACTCGAGATCGTCCGCGGACCAGGAAGAGCCGATGTCTCACGAGTTAAGGCCGGTGAAGTCCTTGAAAATGACCATGAGCTATCTGCTGCACGAGATCGTGGACCTGTGCGAACAGGAGGACACCAACCTGGCGGAATGGTATCACTTCCTCTGGGACAGGACGAGGGGAATTCGGAAGGACATCACCCAGCAGGAACTCTGTTGCAGGGACAGCGTTGAATTGATCGAGCAGTGCGCCAGATTTCACATCGTATGCTCGGAGAGACTTTGCGCGGAGGGCGCCTCTGTGTTCGACAAGAAAATTAACACGGAGAATTTGACCAAGTGCTTGCAGACGTTGAAGTACATGTACCACGATTTGAGGGCGAAGGGCGTCACCTGCGAGAATGAGCCCGAGTTCCGCGCCTACGTCGTTTTGCTGAATCTCAACAACGGCAATTTTCTGTACGATCTGCAGCAGCTGCCGATATCCGTGCAGAATTCGCCGGAGGTTCAGTTCGCGATCAAGATCTACTTCGCGCTCGACTCGAATAATTACTACAAATTCTTCAAACTCGTCCGGCAAACGACTTACATGAACGCCTGTATCTTACTGAGGTACTTCAACCAAGTTAGAATGAAGGCCTTCTCGGTAATGGTGAAAGCGTATTGCAGAACCACGTCCACAGCTTTTCCGTTGTACGAAATGATGGATATCCTCGGCTTCGAGGACGAGAACGAGACTGCGGGCTTCTGCGAGCAAGTGGGTCTGAGCCTGTCGAACGACGAGATGCATGTTATGCTGAATCGCCAAAACTTTAATATGCCTGGAGGAAATATACAGCAGCGTAGGTCTTTCGCTCTGATAGAGTCCAAGAGGATCGTTCTGGGCTACAGTATTGGGAAATGTATCGCCAGCGGAAAAATGCCGAGTAAGATCTACAAGAATCACAAGCCGCACAACAGCTTCGACGCGTACGGCAATCTGATGCCTGAGTCGATCAATGCCGCGGATCAAAACCTCAATGTTTCTTCCGCCGAATCTGACCTCGGCGCGGACGAATCCACGAAGAAGGTGCTGAAGACAACGCGGGACAGGAATCAAATGGCCAGCAGTTCTATGCAGATTAAGAAGCAGCTGACGAATATGAGTAACGACCTAAGCGTCCCGAAGTCGATGCCGGTATCGCAATCGGCCAGCTCGAATGTCGTTAAAACAGCAACACCCGAGCCAGATATGTCCGCTGGATCCAAGCAGAAAGCCTCCATTGTATTTTCGAGCAAACCACCGTCAACTTCGTTGAAGGCGGTCGCTGATAAGCAGCCCGACAATGAGAGTGCAATCGTCAGCGCGACACATCGTGAAAGTACCACGAGCAACAGCAAGCATTCCGCGATTTTTGGCAACAACAATCCTTTTGCGAACAACAGCGTCGTATTTTCCAAACAGCCAGAAACGTCGCGCAATGCGGAGGTTCTCGCCACGCCGTTTGCCATGGCGGTGAACAAGAGTATCTTCTCCGGCATGGGGACGGGGAATATATTTATGAAGAGCGTTCCCTCGACGGTGTTCGTTAGTAATCGTCTTCCAGTGGCAGTTTCCGTACCGCAATCGACGGTGAGCAACGTGCCGAGCGCTGTAAGCAAAGCAAAACAACCGATACCTGATGTCTTCCACAAGAAGGAACCCGTTCAGAAGGATGCGCAGAAGCGTGCGATCTCGGAAGTCGAGAAAGCGAGGCTGGAGAAGCTGGAGCACGCGAAGAGAATGCGGCAAATCGAGGAGCAGTCCGAAGAGATCTACAACAGCTTGCAGGCGGAAGTTACGCAAGAATTCTGCTCCGCCATCGCAAGGGAGAACATCGACAGGATAAGGAGATACAACGCGCAAAGCGAGACTATCACCGGCGAAGTGATCGGCGAGGTGATTCGCGAGATGTGCGACGCGATCCTCACGACCGAGATCGTTAACCAGCAGAGGTTACAGGCGATATTGCAGAGAGTGAAGAATCAAATGATGACCAAATGCTTTAACGCTTGGAGACGATACGCCTTGAGGAACAGACAACAGAGACAAGCGCTGGAAGACACGCCGGTCTGGTTGCAAAGACAATCGTTGGAGGATTGCGCGAAGATGCTGTATACCAAGGAGCAGGACCTGGTGATACGCAATATGCGCAAGAGACGATTCAAAGAGGAGGAGGAGAAGCGTGTGGACGACACGGGAGATCTCTTGCCGATCGAGTGCGTCGTGCGCTCCGGCATCAAGGAGAATTTACGTCTATTGGACGTTAATGCCCTGCCTACCGTGTTCTGGAAGCTCGTGATCTCCTGGCCGGATTTCAGAAACAAGCCGCTCCTGTGGCGCTACAAAAAAGTGATGAACGAGTACCTGTGTTCCGGGGACTCGGCGATGGAACCTATCATGAAGACTCACAGACCGAATCCGTACGAAACTCTGCACATTTGCGTGAGGCAATTCGAGGGTTTTATCAGCGAACACAATTTTGTTGGCGCCGACGCGTTCCTATTCATTGCCGACGCTTCGGAGAACTGCAGGTTCGTTGCCAAACGTCTCACGAAGAACGTGCTCTCGAGGCATAAACTGATGCCCATACCGCTCACATTCATCGTCCTGGGTAGTGGGAAGCTGGAGCATCAGAACGATAGTATCGTCGCGGAACTGGAATCTCTTCTGGAGTCCGGCTATGTATCGGAGTACACGATCATATTTGAGAAAAACTTGACGACCAAGGTCATTTTCGATTTGACGCAGAGTACGATTCTATGGCTGACGATGAACAAGTCGCCAATGAATCCACTGGAGATGGACTATTTGTACAATATATACGACATTTGTCTGTCGGACGAGCTGTGGTTGAGGTAGCGCGCATTTTTTTATAAGCAGTTATTCTCTCTACAAATTATTTCTTCGAATAGAAATCGGAAAGAAATTGGGATTGTTAAAGGGGGGGTATTAATTAAACGATAATAATTGGAGTTGAGGATCTCGGTTTGATTCATAGCATACGTTGTAAGATCGGCGTGTGCGTTTACTGTCAAACGATATTATTCTCCCATAATTTAACCATTCCAGCATCCAGACGCACAGTTCTTATTGATCTTAAATTCCTCTTAGTGTGGTTGTATTCCAATAGAGCCTTACAGATCGTACAATGATACGAACGAAGGCGCGTTAGATGAAGAATTCGACTTGTTGACTAAATTTTGAGAAAATACTAAGAAGTTATGAAAGTACACTCTTCATCCAAGGATTTAGAAGAGCGTTTGGAAGCACAACGTTTACGGAACGCGTTGTTGGACGAGAAATTGAGAAAAAATGCTTTGATACATAGTTCAGTCGCACATAGTTTTTCTACTTTTTACATTTCGATAGAATCTGACTATATTTCAAATGTCTGTATTTAGCTCCTCATTATTATATTTTTCAGGATATTGAACGATGCCATGTTCAATAAGCAGCTGACGAACGCACTGAAGGATCCTAATTTCATAATTGATTTGCACAATGAGGCGGTGAATCATCTAATGGACATTATCTTGGACCCGGAGTCCACGTTGTACACCAGCTTCGCTCCCGAATTCAAACGATTTCTTCGTACCGATCATATCATGCCATGCGGTTATGAATATTTCAACGAGTCATGGAAACGAGATGAATATAGAGCAAAACTGGAGGCCACGATGAATAGCTTTGTGTTACCACCGTGGAAGTAAGTAAGCTCGCGTTACCGCAATTAATCTCACTATTATTCATGTGCGTCACATCATCTGATTGTATTAATCGTTCAACATTCACGTTGTTTATCGCTCGTTTCAGCGCGTCATGGCCAATAACAAACGTACACACTCTACGACAGCGTATTATAAATTATTGCACAGAGGTGCTGTCTGATGCAAATTGTAATATTGTACTCTGCGACATATTCAGCGACTTCTTCTTAACGTCGGACAATATAAAAATAACCAACTTTGTGCAAGTATTGTTACACGTGATTAAGGAGAAGATACATCTCCTGGACGAAGACTTGACAGTCATCTATAACAAGAATCACATCAAGCATTTCCGAACATTGCCATGGTGGTTCAAATCTAATGTATTGATGGAATTCATATCACGTGAATCGAATTCGAGCGACAACGATCTGTCGGGAGGAAGAACGAGGAGTGCAAGACTCGATCGCAGATCGTACAATGATTCGAACGAAAGCGCGTTAGACGAGGAATTTGAGTCGTTGACTGAATTTTGCGAAAATACTAAGAAACAAGTTATGAAAGTACACTCTTCATCCAAGGATTTGGAAGAGCGTTTGGAAGCACAACGTTTACGGAACGCGTTGTTGGACGAGAAATTGAGAAATGCTTTAATTGATAAAAATGAGATGGATATATAGAAGACGCAGGGAAAAATTTTCCAGTTTTTTTCCAGTTGAACTGAATGAATAATTCTACAGTATGTTATTAGAACGTTGTAATGTAATAAAAAGTAATAAAAAGTATTTTTATGGCTTATTTAAATAGAAAGGCGCAGTAATATGGACAATTACTCTATATGCATGTGTATGACGTGTGTGCTTATTATACATCTATTGTGTAGACTAAACATGATTAATTTTAAAATTTTATTTTCGATTTGCATATCCCAATAGCTATATTATTTTTGAGGTCTATAAATAACTTAAGAAAGTACTGTAAAAATGCTATGGGATTATTTATTTAAATATTTGTATTATATATGTTACACAACATAAACGTAGTCTTATTAGTTTATTTTTTTATAACGCAATTGTTTTTGTTATACAATATGTAAGTTGTAGCGTCGCATCATACAGAAAAAATATATATTTTTAACAAAAAATTTCTCCGCATAATGTTTAAGGTATTGTCATTCAATATTGTACATTGACAGTTAAGTTCCTATAAAGGGAGGAACATTTCTCAGGAATAAAGAATATCGCAAAATAATAAAGTGTAGTTTAAAAACTTATTAGTTTCATTACGTAAAAATACTATTTTACCATTTCAACCTATATTCATATATCTTTCTTTGATATTTTTTTTATACAAGCATATGCTTATTCTTGATATGACAATGTTATTGTACATAGCGCGTGCAAAGTGCACTTAATTCATAGAGATATATGCTCAAAGAGAGATATTCGATATAGGATATAATAAATTTATATATATTTAATCGATAAACCCAGAGAGAGAGTTTGAATGAAATACTATAATACAAAGAGTTATTATATACAGAATATAATACAAATCCCATATGTGACATGACATTTTGTTTTCATATAAGTTTCTCTGTGCGATTACTTTAATTATATCGAAATGTGAATGTTTAAATAAAGTTTTTGTGAGATTCTAATGAGATTTTCTCAAAATATGTAAGATTTTTACTAATACTAATGTAAGATACTAATATAAGATTTTTATATAAAATTCCTTTGTGTCTTAATAATTAAGTGAAACAATACAAATTGAAATATGTTCGATCTATGTAGCTCTATTATATTTGTGCCTAATTTTAATTTATATTAAAAAAATAATTACTTCACAACCTCTTACAGCATTTAAACATAAAAACATGAAATTTATAATTATTTTACAAGATCTTAATGACTGTATTAGAGACATACTGCAATATCAATGTAAATGTTTAAACTAACTTTTCTTAAAAGAAAAATGAAGTTCATTATAAAAAAAAATTAGAGAATCTAACTAAACTCTCACATGAAAATATTGTTAGTACACAACATATATGTGTGTGTATATATGTGTGTGTGTATATAGTTTTTCATACAAATACAAATAACTGTAATATCCAAATATTACTGAATGAAGTCTATGGGTTTTTAATTGCTAAATTATATAAATAATAAATAAGAGTGTCTGCGAAAATATTTATTGTATATACATTTAATGAAATATATACACAAATTTATGTTATGTAATTTGACTTCTGAAGTGATTTATTAAAAATTTAGCTGAATTGAAATTTAAGTATCAAAATATTTAGATTCAAATAAACTATACATGATAATTTGAGCTACAATTAACTTTAGATATAAATTAATGACAGTTAATACGTCAATCAATGAGATGCAAGTAGTATCGTAGTGTCAGTCACCAGTAATCACATCAGTCAAGAATCATATTAACAGGGACATTTAGCTTCACGTTGTATCGAATACAAATTGAAAATATCGCACGAAAACGACAAAGACCCGAATCAGATGATGTTACAAAATTTATCAGCTAACAACAGCTGCCGATATATATACTGAGTATTCCATAATCCCTTATTAATGGCATTAATACAAAGTTTAATAAAAAGTACAAATAATTTATAGATAAGGAAGCGTGCCCACGTGCAGGCAAGCGACAACATACAAAATACCTAGATATATGTTTAATCGGGCTGTTCGTCTAGGCACATTTTGAATTCTATTCGGGTTACGAAATTCTTTCTCTATTTTAAAGGCGGCTGGCAGAGTAATGACCGGCAGTAAAAACCATACGGAATATCTTAACGCCAATACTATAAGTGTTATGTACGGCGTGAACAGTAGAAAGGCATACAAAACATGAGACGCGGTGTGACCCACCAAAATTGCTAATGTCACAATCCCTGCCTTCTTATCGCTCTCCATGTCCCTCGTGTTATTACTGTGTAAGATAGCTTCGGTGTTCAGCGCAAGCGGTATCGCGTAATATATCGTCCCTAATTCGACGTAGCCGGTTTGTGTCATGAACGCGAACAGTACCGAGATCGGGCCGAATATAACTAGGATAAGTACGTCGCCTAAAGCGATGTATTTCAAGCCTATGCCTCCCGTGTATAGAAACGAGGAGGACAATCCTCCGAAGTACACGAGGGCTAAATGCTCCATCTTCGCGGGCGAGATGAGCACCAGTCCGATGAATCCGAAGCAGCCGGCCGCGTACAGAATCGCCCCGAGCGAGACCAATTCATCTTTCGACAACAAATGATCCACCAGTATCCTATCGTCGCTCTTCCGACTGTCTACGCCCTTTATATAGTCGAAATACGTGTTCACCACGTTACCAGCGCAGTGCACGCAAACTACCGTGTACACGGTGAGAATTAGCGTTAACCAGTTGAAGTTTTCTAGGCCAGTCATTCGATACGCGAGAGCTGACCCAAGAAGCGTTGGCATCAGCGACGCGCTCAACGACCATGGTCGCAGTGCCAAGATGTACGAAGACAATTTCATAAGCGGGGAGTTCAGGGCTGATGACGATACTGAGGTCTGATGTACATTGTTCACCATGGAGTTGTCCTTGATCTGACTAGTTGAACTCTGCACACCATTGGACATCATGTTTCTTGCAGTGCTGGAGAGAAAGCAAACAATGATGTTGTTTAAAAGAATCAAATATGTATTTCAAACTCTCTAAAAGTAAAATCTAACTTTATGAGAGAAATAAGGCCGTTAAGAGCTAATGCTGAATATTTGTGCAATTTTTATATGATGGAGAGGAATAATATGTTTGTGGTGTTAATGCATATGCTGAATGATTTTTCAATCTTGATTAACATTATTATCCTCCCCATTATATAAAAATTGCACGAATATCCAGCATTAGCTCTTAATGGCCTTATTTCTCTCATAATGTTGTTATTTAACTTTGATCATGAAGAAAATATTTAAGGCTTCTGATTTCACTACTGCAGAACTCTGGATTAATGGCATTAGAAACAAGAAAATATGTGGCAAAAATTATTATATGTCACTTTCAAAAATATTTTCATTCAGGAGCCTCAAAACTTGTTACATTGGCTTTATTATACAGTTTAGCTGCAAGCTTTAAAAGCTTTCAAACAACTTGAACTTTTTATAAGAAATAATATAAATAAATTTAAATCAACCTCTTTCTTCCAACAAATGAATTATTTTTAGATACCATGATATTTATAGAAACTTTTGACATTATAGAAAATTTTAATTTGTATGCCTTTAAATGCTTCCACATGTCTGACTACGCACAAATTTTTTTCCTACTGTATATTTATCTGATAAATAAGTTGCCAAGGATATGCTAATAAATACCTCCAAAACTTCTTCAAGAAGTAAGATAAAGTTTTACTGACATGTTTCAGTGATAACATGGAAAGTACATGGAAACTAAAAATATAGCTAACTGCAAAAATTTTACAGAGTTGGGAATTGCGTTGCTTGTCCGAACAATGCAGCTTAAATTATATACATATAATTGTTCATACACATAATGAAATGTATAGACACAATCATATCGTATTAAATTCAAAGACACGTATCGAAAGCTCAAACTCCAAATTTCATTAGATTAGGTTAGGTTAAATTAGATTAAGAAATTTACCGTGTATATCATAACGGAATGTCACTATAATTATATATAATTAAAGCGAAAAATTCAACTTTCACGTTCGTATTGTATGTGTCACAACGCGCGGCACTAGATTCCATCAAATTCGGCCAGGAGGTCGAAGCCCTTCTCTCTCTCTCGTAATTACTCAACTAAACGAGTGATAAACACGTAGCTGACGTAGCTGACTTTGGATGTAAAACGTTCAGGACAGCGAGTCCGGATACGCGTTGGCGCTACGCGCCGAAGAGAGAGTAAACCTTACTTGTAATTCTCTCGAAAGTGGACGAAGCTTGGATCAGGTTAAGACGTTCCCCGTGCCAGCTCGAGAAACACTTCGCTTCTCGAGTACAGAGTTCCGATCATCGTCGAATCATTTGTCGCACGACCAACGCGTCGGCGTTCGCACAAACGGTATCGCGGTAAACGTACGATGCCCTAGGGAGCTTCTGTTTCCTTCCGAAAGACGTCGGTCCCTTCTGGGACCACTTTTCTCGACGTTGTGCGAGCCTGAAACACACGATGACGATGACGATTCGTTTACGCATGGTGCGCCGCACATTACCGTATGTGACGACGTGTTACCTGAGGTAGTCGGGCTTGAAACCACCAAGTTTTCGGCGCGATCATTTCTACCTGTGCCGCCGATGGTAAATGTTTGTCCTTGCGAGTGACGAAGGATTCACACCGAGTGCGGAATCTGCCAAAGCGTCGAGTGTGTTTGTATCCGGAGTATACATATCATTCTAAGAATTATATTGATATCACTCGTAAGTGTAAATTGCTGTTTATTTTCCGATTTATTTGAATTCTTGGTTTTACACACGCAAGAATCAATCCTTGGAGCAACCGAGATATAAAATCAACCCGAATATTTTAAATATGGTTTCGTGTGTCTAGTAGTGCAATAATCAGAATAATTATTATGAATGTGATTACTTTAATTGGGATATTGTGTTTGATTGAATTATGCACTGGTACCATATCACCATCTACAGGAAAGATAAAGAAAGATAAAGGGAAAACTAACAGTAAGGTAGGAACTACAAAGAGGATATATTATTTGTGTATTTATATACAAATTAATATATATTAATTACATAATTAAAACATACATACATAATTTTTTATTGTGGGTGAATATTTTATTTAGATACACAAAGGTCCTGTGGATCAAGATGTTTTCCAGAGGCATTTGGTAGTGGAGAATCCCAAACAACAGGATATACTTCATGAATCTGCACAATACTTTCGAGATACAAAGAATAGAAGATTCAAAGCAGATGTTCTGGGATATGTTACACCTGTTAGCAATAATGTCTACTTATATGGAGCGCAAAGTAAAGCAGAATCTAAGAATATATGTGTTATAAATATTATTTGAATTTCAGTGGAATGGATATGGATTTGAAATTTCTAAAATATTTCATGGTAAATTCACCATGATATCACCGGTATGGTTGACAGTTCCTTTTGGAAATACATCAACCTATCAATTGTCTACTGATGCTGTACAAACCAAATGGATCAAAGAAATGAGATCCAATAATAATGCTAATCATAATGTGAAACGTAAGTTGCAGATAATTCAAATGCAATTATAGAATTATATACTGTTTTCATTTTTAGTTGTACCCAGAATATTATTTGAACATTGGACTGTTGATGATATTACTCAATTATACAGTAATACAGAGAGTCAAATTCAGTTAATAGTAACTCTCTTAGATGCTGCTCAGGTATAATCTGAATTCTTAACTCTTTCATAAATATTATTGTGGGCTTTATTAAAACTTATTACACATGTAAATTTGGTATTCGCAGACTTTCCACTTCAATGGATATGTTTTAGAGATATGGAATCAGTTTATATTTGCAGGTGCAAACCTGCCAGTTGTTACTTCAATAGTCAAATCTATTGCACATAAGCTGAAAAAAAATAATGTAGATATTATATTAGCTATACCACCATCTAGAGGGTAACTTATTCATTAATCTTTGGTGTATATTACATAAATTTACAGAAACAATATAACTTTCATTTTAATATATTCTTTTAGTTTGCAGGTTGAATTATTTTCAAAACAACAATTTGATGAACTAGCACCATATGTAAAAGCTTTTTCACTTATGACTTACGATTATTCGACTATTCAAAGGCCAGGGCCAAATGGCCCCATTGACTGGGTTAGACAATGTGTAGAGCTATTGGTTCCAAAGAAAGATGACCCTAAACGGTCTAAAATTTTATTGGGTATTAATTTCTATGGTTACAATTATACGCCAGATGGTGGCAGGGCGATTGTTGCATCTGAATATTTGGAAATTCTCAAATCATTCAAAGGAAAAATTCAATGGGATGATAAGAGCAAAGAACATTTCTTTGAGTCAAAGTGAGATAATTTTTTTTACTTATTAATTATTTTTGTACATGTTTACAGGCAATATATAAAATATATTGTCTTATTTTTTTAGGTTAGCCGTGGGTAATGGCTATGTCTTTTACCCTACTTTATACTCGATTAAACATCGATTAGATCTTGCAAATGAATTAGGTACAGGAATATCTATTTGGGAACTAGGTCAAGGATTAAACTATTTTTATGACTTATTATAAATTAGATATTTGTGTATTTTATATTGTTTTGCAATTTGCATAAATAGGTTTTTTTTAAACCTATATGTATAAATATATGTATATATAAGAGAAATGCAAGATATAATATTTGTAAAATTTATAATATATAAAGTGTAGTAAAAAGAAATCCATTATTTTTGCATGAAATTGAAGGCTTTATTTAACATAGTTAGAATGATCTGATTTAGGTCAAATATGCACCGTTTTGTTCGATAACTTGTTGCCATTTTGAAGGTAATGCCATTATGCCTCTCTCATAGAAACCCTTGTCCCTATTGGCAAAAAACTGGGACAGTCGATTTTCATAAGCTTCTCTTGAGGCGAATTTTTCACCAGCAAAATCATTTGCCATAGACAGGAACAGGTGGTAATCACTTGGTGCCAGGTCCGGACTATAAGGTGGATGCATAAGAACCTCCCAACCAAGCTCCCGGAGCTTCTGGCGAGTCACTATCGATGTGTGTGGCCTGGCGTTATCCTGATGGAACACAATTCCTCTCCTGTCGGCCAAAGCTGGCCGCTTCTGGGCGATTGATTCCTTCAGACGGTCCAATTGTTGACAATACAGGTCCG